CTCCTCCTCCTCCTCCTCCTCTTCCTCCTCCTCCTCCTTCTCCCCCTCCTCCTCCCCTCCTCCTCGCGAGGTACCTCCTGCACGCCTGCGCCGCGCTGCCCGCGGCGGATGGGCCCACCGCCGCTGAGGCGCCGCCCACCCGTCGTCGTCGCCACCGTCGTCGCCGCCACCGTCGTCGCCACCGTCGTAGCCGCCGTTGTCTTCGTCGTCGTCGTCGTCGTCGTCGTCGTCGTCGTCGTCGTCTTCGTTGTCGTCGATTGCGTCGTTGCCTGGGTCGGCATCATCTTCGCGGTCGTGGTCTTTGAAAAGTGCAGCGCCCCGTCATATCATTGTGGTGGTGGTGGTCGTCGTCGCCGTCGTCGCCATCGCCGGTCTTGCCCAGTCCGACCCCGGCCGAGGGAGCTCAGGCGGAGGCCTCACGATGCCCCCAGCAGCGCCCCAAGACGCTCCCGATGGGCCCCCAGGAGGGCCCAACGGGCTCGGGACAGCCCGGTGTGCCCAAGCTGGCTCCGAGAACGCCCTGGAGGGCCCCACGAGCCCACCGAGAGCACCGAGGAGGCCCCCCCCAGGCCACTCCCAAGCTCCTCGCTTCTCCCTCCTGCCTTCTCTCTCCTTCCTCCTGCTTCCCCCGCCCCCCCTGAGCCAGCCCCGAGCCTCGAAGGGGGGGGTCTGCGCGATGATCCCCTCCGTGGAGGAGGGGCTCGAAAAAGACAATTGGTCGCCTATCTTAGCTGATGCATTTCATTTTCAATATCGATAGCGGCTGGAGGTGTGATCAGCATTCAGTGCGGCAAGGACACCCACGGGAGACAGGGCCCGCAAAGTAGGAGAGGGCGTTCTCTTTAGCTATCAGCTCTGACCTTTGATGGGTAACCTGCTTAAATTTCCGATTCGTAGGGGCTTCTTGGGAGTCATAATTCAAAGTTTGCCAGCGCAGCACAGTCGCGCAACAATTCGCAGCACCGCGCGACACCGCACAACACCTCGCAACACCGCTCAATACCGTGCAGTCTTCTACTGAGCGACGTTGAACGATGTTGCGTGGTGTAGGTTTCCAGAGTCGTTTCCCAGAGGCTCCCGTGGACCGGGCGCGAACAAGTGCTTGCAGCACTGGGCAGCGCACCGCTGCGGAATCCTGCAACCCAAAGTTGCCCCACTCGTCTTGGGGGACAAGGAGCCCAAACTAGACCCAAGATGACGGAGTTTCCCCGCCTGCTCAGGGATCTCCATTTCGAGGAAAACCCTAACCACGCCTAGACAGCCCCCTCTCTCCTCCCTGGTCTGGTCAGGGTTTCCCTCATCCTCCCTCGCTCATTTCCACGATCGACGACAGCGCTGATGACGGTTGCGGCGGCGACCTGCTGCCCCCCGAAGTTTTGGAAGTCTCCAGAGGTCACCGGAAGACTCCAGCGGCCTCCAGGGGCAGATGAAAAATGCTGAGGCCGTCCAATACCCTCCATCATCGAGCCTCGACTCCTCCTTCTCCTCCTCCTTCTCCTCCTCCCCCTCCCGTAGCCATCTTGGCTCAAGTCTCATGCTAGGCCCGCGGACCGCACATTCCGCATCCCTTGCCTGGTAATGGTGGCGCGTGCTGCTGCCCTCGTTGCTTCTCTGGCAATGGCTCAGTGGTGAGTCGCTTTGCATGGTGTACGCACGTTCTGCGTCGGCAGCACCTGCCAGGCGTTGTCGGGCATTAGAGTTCGGCCTCAAGAAGGCATGTCCCCGACAGGTACCGCCTGCTCATGGTCCCGGGCGGCCTGAACGTGAGCCTGAAGGAGGTGATCGCGGGCATGTCCCTGCACGCCTCTCTGCAATCCAGCAGCTGCTTTACATCGCATAGTCTTGGGCACGCCATTCAACATGCTGCCTTTCTTCAGCTCGAATCACTTGCGCGGCTCTTGGCTATTAATTCTCGTTAGGGTCGTGCCGGACATCGCATTCCGATGGGTGCCCACCCTGGTAATAACGCGGCCGTCTGCTGCAACGCCCAGCCTATGAATCTTAAAGAACTCCTCGACATCGAACCCACGCAGCCCTACAACGTGCCGCCCAATTTGACGAAGGTGTCTGACCAAGCGGTTGCTGATAGACGTCTCGCTTTTGCCAAGTGTATCCTGCCTATGCGGAAGCTCCGCCTATGTTTTCGACGCTCTGGCAGGCACGCGGTGCTGCGAAATTCCATACCATTCTTCTCGCAATGCAGCGTGTGGCTCAATCCGAGTGGCGCCCAGAGCTGCCAGCACCTCTACAAGTTGAACAACATCTGGATTGTCCTCAAGTGGTGGGCGGGGATGGTTCGATTCTTGCGTCGTATGCGCACGACGATGATGCACGGGTTGATGGGGGTTTCACGGATGGAGGGCGGCTCCTTTTCAACATGCGGCTCACGCCTTGGCGCCGCGCGCAATCCTTCTTAAGAGTTTACAGCAGCTTTCACATCGCAATGGTGTTTTGGCACGATGTCGGACACTCAGGGCGCAACAGCTATTTTTTGATTCGTAGTGTTGAAGTCCCAGAAATGGTGTTCTGGTACGGTTTAGGATCGTCAAGACGCAACGGGAACGGCGATTCGCAGCGCTGAAGCCCCAGGAACGTTTTTTTTTGGTACAGTTCAGGATTTTCAAACTGTTATCTTCCAACGGGGTGCTTCCCTTAGTGCAGATCAATCCTTCTAGGGGCCTAGGAAAAAAGGGACTTGGAGGCAGGGTCTGTTGCAATACCGTTGATGGTTCTTGGGTTTACACTGGTCCTCCTCCGCCGTCTCCTCTTCCCACCTCCTCCATCGCCTCCACCTCTTTCCCCCATCCCTCCTCCTGCTACTGAGTTCGGCGGCGACCATGACGGGCCCAGGACGAGGGGTGCGGCCTTCTGCGACGGCAGGCGGCTTCTGTATCGCCTCTGTGCAGAGGGTGGTGACGCCACGGTAATCCTGTGACTCTGCATCTATGACTGTTGCCCTGCTGGATCGCACAATCCACTTGCACGGTGTAACTCGCTGAGCGCGGGGACCAGGCCACGTCGATGGCAGTGTGCACTCTTGCCGCATGTCCTCATCATCGTGCCAGGCGCCCGGATACACATGACGCGCCCAGCCTGGGCGAGAGCCAGACACACGTGCGGCCAGAAGTCTTCCCAGCGCACGGCCCTCCTGTGGCCGTGCAGGCCGGGCTTCCGCCTGTGTATCCCGCGCGTGGCTTCGGGATGCTCCACATGGGAATCCAGCTACGTACGTGTGATTCTGGCTCCCTCGTACACCTTCCCGCGCCCCCCGACCCGCAGGTGGACATCCTCTCGCTGTGCACAGTGAGCCTTGCGCCGGCAGCCAACTTCGCGCAGGCGGCTCGGCCAGAGCCCGGCTCCTTTTTGCTCCGTCTTGCGATTGGTTCGCGTCGTGTCCCCTCTTCCCACCCTTGCGCGGGCGTTCAAGGTTGAGCGCCGCCAGTGTTTCTGATAATCGGTCGATATCGAATGAGCGGCGCTACCGCGGAGCCGCGATGGCTCAAGGTTGAACGGTCCACGCGGTGTCAGAAGCCAGCGCGAAGCTTGTCACGACGCGAACCTGCCCTAGACGGATCCGTTCTTGCCACGGGCAGCCCGCGATTTGCAGTTCGACCCGATCGACACATTTGACTTCTACTGTCATTATGAAGGCCTTACGGCCACTGCCGCCAACCCTGTGCCCCACGGGTCTTTTGGGGCCCTCCTGGGGCTCTCTTGGAACAATCTTGAAGGCCTTGGGAGGCCTGTCGGGGCCATCGTGGAGGCCATCGATCACAGAAAGAGGTTTCTTTGCATGCGTCGCCCCGCCAGGGCGCGAAAATGAGTCTCTGTGGGCCTTCTTGGCGCGCTCTTGAGGCGCTCTCGGGGCTGTCTTGGGGCCGTCTTGGGGCCGGGGCGCCTCGGGTGACCCTCCCGGGTCATCTTGGAGCCATCTTGAAGCCTGAGTAGCCGATCGAAAGCCAACATGGTGAGAAATCGACAAACATTGGAAACACACACACACAATGGTTTTGAACGGTCTTCGCCTCCTGGAGGACTCCTTGAGAAGCTCCGTGGACACTTGAAGCCGCCTTGGAGCGGATCTGAGGCCTCTAGTAGGCATGTCGGAACGGATATTGGGGTATCCTATTGGAAGTGGGTAAAAAACATAATTCATATTGTGTCTTACGTGGGGGAAGCATACCTTTGTTATTTTTCAGATGCCGGCAGCTGTTTTTGCATTCATGTTTCTGGTATCTTTCCCAGATGTTTCCCCGGATATATTCCCGGCGATGTTTGCCGACATTTGCGCGAATGTTTTTGCTTCTTGACATGTCCCGCGGGTTTCGTAGGAACACGTCTTGTTGCTCTGGAGGACATTGCCACGGATTGTGACCGAGCTTGTCGGGTGGACGGGACAGACATGCTCATCCCGCCAATGTGCGTCCAGCGTGCAGGATAGCGCTGCGCGCACATTCTGGCCGCGCGCCGGCCGCGTAGAATCTGGCGCCGACCTCCTCTTCAAAGGGTCATCGCAGTGCGGTATGTCATCGTTCCCCTCGAGTGTATCACCGAACCACTTACATATTTTCCCCCGAATGTATCACCAAACCGTTGCATATTTTTCCAGGAACAATTTTTAATTATCTGGTGAGGTGGTTGGAAAGAACGCGTTCTGTGGGCGCTTGGATGATGGGGGTGTCCGGAACCGGACCCCCCCCCCTGGTTCAAGGGGTGGGGGGGTTTCGAGACCCCCCCCCTCCCGGGCCTGCGCTGGCGCTGGCGGCGGCCCCCCTCCCCTTGCCGGGCCGGCGCCGGCGCCGGCGGCGGCTGTCGGCGGCGGCGGGGAGAGTCGACGAGGACGACGATTCAAGTGTGGGGGCGGTTCGAACCCCCACCCCCTTCCTCCCCTTCCGAGGCTGGCGGCGGCGGCGGCTGGCGGCGACGGCGGCAGCGCCGGCGACGACGTCGACGACGACAACGACGGCGACCATGGCGACGACGACGACGACGGCGACGACGACGACGACGTCTACGGCAGCGACGACAACGACGACGACTACGTGCACGACGACGACGACGACGACGGCGACGACGACGACGGCGAAGACGACGACGACGACGACGGTGACGGCGGCGACGACGACGACGTCCACAGCGACGACGACGGCGACGACGACGACGATGAGCACGACGACAACGACGACGACGACGATGACGATGACGACGACAACGACGACGAAGAGCACGACGACAGCGACGGTGACGGCGATGGTGACGACGACGACGCCGCCGACGACGACGACGACGATGTCCACGACGAAGTTGACGACGGCGACGACGACGGCGACGGCGGCCACGACGATTTCGGGCATAACGGCGGCGGCGTCCACGACGACGACGACGACGACGACGACGACGACGACGACGACGACGACGACGACGACGACGACGACGACGACGACGACGACGACTACGACGACGACGACGACGGCGGCGGCGGCGGCGGCGGCGGCGACGACGACGACGACGACGACGACGGGCGACGACGGCGACGACGGCGACGGCGACGGCGACGGCGACGGCGACGACGACGACGGCGGCGACGACGACGACGTTGACGACTACGGTGACCACCAGGCCGACGGCGACGGCGATGGCAACGACGATGACGACGACGGAAAGCGCGGAGGGCACGCGACGCCACGCAATTTTTTTTCATATTTGAGGTCCGGGCCCGTCAGTATTCCAACACTCAGGGCCAAGGACAGAGGGTTACAAGGGATCTCGTCATCCTGGTCATCGTCGCCGCGTCGCCGCCGTCGGCTGCCGCTGCCGCCGCCAGCGCCGGCGCCAACGCGCCGGCGCCGGCCGGGGGTGGGGGGGGGCTCGGGGCGGGGAGGGGAGGGGGGAGGGGAGTCCCTTTGGTTCTGTTCGACGACGCCGAATGTTCGGGGGGGGGGCCCCCCTCCCGGTTCAAACGCGCCGCCGAATGTTCCCAAGGCGAGCGCCCGTGAGACGCTTTTCTTTTGTGGGTGGTAAGTGAGCCCGACGATTCCAAACATATTGGCGGCCCTGCTTTCCTTTAGGAGGGAGGGGCTTCAATGGAAGCCGGACGGAGGAGGGGGGAGAGGTGTTCTCCGCATGGGGGCGGTGCGCATTGCGAAGTACTCACCTCGTTCAACCCCGCACAGCCCAAGAGGCAGTCCCGGCAACGTTCCCAGCGCTGCCGCTGCTTAGAATTATTTTTCACCCGTCCGATTACGAGGAGCCCTGGAGGTCTTTCCCTTTTCTTTTCCAGGGACAGTTTTCCGTTCCATCTTTGTTTGGTGGCCCCAGGGCCCCGATGATTGGCCCCTGGGGCCTAGAAAGATCAAAAGCGCTTTGATCTAACAAAGAAGGAGCACTTTGAAGCTCGAAGAGGGGGGAGTGAGGGGGGAGGAGGGAGGGGGGAGGAGGGAACCGGGAGGAGGGAGGAGGGATCAGGGGTGAGGCATGCGAGAGGATGGATCAGGGAGGAGGAAGGGAAGGAGGGAGGAGGGAGTAGGGACAGTGACAGAGGACAGGGGCTCCATCGGGCCACGGGGCAGATTCACAGTCGACGCGAGGGAGGGAAGGGAAGCACGCCCGCGGAGGCCGCCCACCTCCTCGCCGCGCTGCTGTGCCTGCGCCCGCCGGGCGCGGGGCCCCGTGCCGCGCTGCTCGAGGCGGTGCGCGCCGCGTGCGACAGGCCCCGCCCCTCGGCGGCGGCGGCGCCGCCGCCCCAAGAGCCGAGCCTCTCCGCGCCGCCCCTCCTCCTCCTCCTCCTCCTCCCTCCTCCCTCCTCCCTCCTCCCCTCCTCCTCCTCCTCCTCCTCCTCCTCCCTCCTCCTCCTCCTCCTCCTCCTCCTCCTCCTCCTCCTCCTCCTCCTCCTCCTCCCCCTCCCCCTCCTCCCTCCTCCCTCCCTCCCTCCCTCGCCCCCGCAGAGCGGAGCGACACGCCCGCAGGGCCACGTCGCGTCGCGGGGGCCGCTGCCGCGGCACGCCGAGCCAGAGGGTTCGTGGCCGCAGTCACGCAGTCACGCGGGGGGGGCAACAGGGCCAGGGGGGGGGAGGAGGGCCCGAGGGCCCATTTCATCAGGGAAGCGTGCGGCTTCGCCCTCGGGGGCGCTGCCTCGCCGACTCGGGGTGCTTCTTCAGGCCAGCCACAACTGGGGGAGCTGTGGTCCTTCACCCCTGGGGGGCCCATCGATTTTGACACCCCTCTCGAAAGATCGTCGATGCGATGGGTTCCCCCAGGGGGGTAAGGACCACAGCTCCCCCAGTTATGGCTGGTCGGTTCTCCCCCCCCCCTGAGCCGGGCCCCGCCTGACGCTGCCCCCAAAGCCGGCTCGGACGAGCGGGGGAGATTGGGAAAGGGGGTGGCGCGAGATCTGTTGCACGCGGCTGGTGTTTGGCCCCGCCGCCCGCGGCACGTCCTCGATGCACTGGGGCCTCTGGCGCCGGGAGGCGCCGGGTAAGCCAGCTGCGTGAGCTGACTCGCTATTCCGCCCCTTACCCACACTCCCCCGCCTTTCGTCCGAGCCGACTCTCGTCGGCATCGCCGTCGCCGCTGCCGCCGCCCCGAGATGCGAGGCTTCCACGGTCCCAGACGATCGTTTTCCGACGTTTTCGTTGGCCCCTGGAGGTTCTCGAGCCTCGGGGAGCTCTCCTGTAGCTGCGTCTCGCCGAGGGCGTTCTGGGGGTGCCTGGTCGGCTGCAAGAGACCCTGGTGATGAGTGATGACACGAAAGCCATACATCCAACGCCTCGAAAATATCAAGGCGAAGGTTTTTCGTCAGGTTCTTATTTTTAGTTTTCGGCCTCTGGGGGCCCTCGCTGGGACCCAGGACCAGGAAACAAACTGCTCGGGAAGAGAAGGCGGCCCAAGGGAAATGGTTGGTACTTCGTGGGGCCCCGTATCCAAACAAGTAAGAAGTCGCATCTCTCTTGAAGCGAGGAGGAGGGAGCAGGGGGAGGCGGGAGGGAGGGAGGGAGGGAGGGAGAGAGAAGAGGGGGTGGCGGGGGGACGAGGGATGATGGTTTAGGGAGTTAGGGATGGATGGATGCATCGATTTGCGGGGGCCCAGTAAGGCCCAGATGCGTCCCTGGGACTTCCTACCGATACTCCTGTTGCTGCGCCTGCTCGCACCTCGCCGCCCTGCTGCTGCTGCTGCTGCTGCTGCTGCTGCTGCTGCTGCTGGCGGGGGGGAGATTCCGCTCGCTCGAAAGCGGCGGCGGAGAGTTAGACCAGGGGGGCCCCTCGTCGCCCGCTGCCTTTCCCGCGGCGCAGAGGAAAGCCTTCCTCCTCCTCCTCCTCCTCCTCCTCCTCCTCCTCCTCCTCCTCCTCCTCCT